ATAGACTTTGTATTATACAAGATAAGACTATAGCTCTCTTTTTCCATAAACTCCGCTTGATGTTCACTCCAAACTTTTTTTCTTTTTGAAAGCCGTATTTTTAATGTCATTTGTCCTTTTGTCCTTAAAACAACACTTGTCCAAAGAAGAAACAATCGCCACACTTCATACTTTTGTTAAATCAGTGATATATATCTTAAAAAAAAAAGTTTTAAAATCATCTTTTTAACATAGAGGAAAAGAAAATCCTAACATTTTATGTCACTTGGCTTCTTTTTCCTTTTCTTTTTTTTTCTTTATTTTTATTGACATATAGTTGATTTACAATGTTGTGTTAGTTTCAGGTGTACAGCAAAGTGATTCAGTTATACAAATACATATACATTCTTTTTCAGATTCTTTTGAATCTTAATTCAAAGAATTATCTGAATAATGATACATTGTTACAAGATATTGAATTGTAGTTCCCTGTGCTGCAGAGTAGGTCCATGTTGTATATCTATTTTATATATAGTAATGAGTATACGTTAATCCCAAACTCCTAATTTATTCCCCCTGCCACCCCTTTCTCCTTTGGTAAGTATAGTTTGTCTTCTATGTCTTTGAGTCTATTTCTGGTTTGTGAATAAGTTGATTTGTATCTTTATTTTTTTGGATTCCACATATAAGTGATATCATATGATATTTGTCTTTGTCTGACTTACTTCACTTAATATGATAATCTCTAGGTCTATTCATGTTGCTGGCATATGGTATTATTTCATTCTTTTTTATGGTTGAGTGATATTCCATTGTGTATATATACCAGACCTTCTTTATCCATTTATTTGTCAATGGACATTTAGATTGCTTCCATGTCTTGGCTATTGTAAATAGTGCTAGTCTGAACATTGGAGTGCATGTATCTTTTCAAATTACAGTTTTATCCATATATATGCCCTGGAGTAGGATTGCTGGATCATACGGTAAGTCTATTTTTTAGATTTTTTAAGGAAACTTCATAGTGTTTTCCATAATAGCTAGATCCAACCACATTCTCACCAACAGTGTAGAAGGGTTCCCTTTTCTCCATGTTATCTCTAGCATTTGTCATTTTTGGACTGTTTAATGATGGCCGTTCTGATTGGTGTGAGGTGAACTTTTTTGTAATTTTGATTTGCATTTCTCTAAAAGTTAGTGACATTGAGCATCTTTTCATGTGCCTGTTGGCCATCTATATGTCTTCTATGGAGAATTTTGGGGGGGGGTTGTTTGGGTTGTTTTGATTGGGTTTTGTTTGTTTGTTTGTTTGTTTGTTTCAGTTGGGGTGTTTTAATATTAGCTGTATTAATTTGTTTGTTTGGAAATTAGTCCATTGTCAGTCTCATCGTATTCTCTTCCATTCAGTAAGTTAGCTTTTTGTTTTGTTTATGGTTTCCTTTGCTGTGCAAAAGCTTATAAGTTTAATTAGGTCCTACTCGCTTATTTTTGCTTTTATTTTCATTACTCTAGGATTGAAAAAATATTGCTGCAATTTATGTCAAAAATGTTCTGCCTGTGTTTTCCTCTAGGAGTTTAAGAGTATTTGGTCTTACATTTAAGTTTTTAATCCATTTTGAGTTTATTTTTGTATATAGTGTTAAATAATGTTCTAATTTCATTCTTTTACATGTAGCTGTCCAGTTTTCCCAGCACAACTTATTGAAGAGACTGTGTTTTCTCCATTGTATATCTTACCTTCTTTGTTGTAGACTAATTGACCTTAGGTGCATGGGTTTATTTCTGGGATTTCTAGCCTGTTCCATTGATCTGTGTGTCTATTTTTGAACCAGTGTCATACTGCTTTGATTACTGTAGCTTTGTAGTATAGTATGAAGTCAGGGACCATGATTCCCTCAACTCCATTCTTCTTTCTCAGGATAGTTTTGGCTATTCACACTCCAACCTTTCTAATGTCACCATATTCCCAAGATGATTATATTTTGATTTTTATTAGATCAATTTTAGTACTTATGCTATTATAATCATGCAAATGATAGTCACAGCCTTCAGACTTGGACCGGGACTTACACTACTGGCTTTCCTGGGTCTCTAGCTGGCAGATTGTGGGATTTAGCCTCCATCCGCAAATGAGCCATCCTCACATAACTAACCTTTTTCTTGATATCTCTTTATATCTCTTCCTTGGTTCTATTTCTCTGAAGAACCCTGACTAACATAAGAAGAGTGTAGCATCTTTTCTTTGATTTCAGTATTCTGAAATTTCACAGTATATGCTGTACATCCACAATTTGCATTCCCTGTACTGGGCTTTCAGAGTCTTCAGTTTGGAAATATAGCCATCAGTTCCAGGAGACTTTCTTTAAGTATATAGTTGGTGATTTGTCCCACCTATTTTCTCTATTTGTCTGTCTTTCTTCCTTTCTTCCTATATTGGCCCTCCTTAACTTGCTCTGTATTTTTTCTCCTATTTTCTCCTTTTTTCTTTTTCTTTGTCTTTCATCTCTACTTCTTGAGACATTTCTTATATTTCCCAACCCTTTTAATGAGGTTTTCTTTTCTTTTCTTTTTTGCGTGTTTTTGTTTTTGTGGGGGAGATAATTAGATTTGTTTATTTATTTTTAGAAGAAGTACTGGGGATTGAACCCAAGACCTTGTGCATGCTAAGCAGCTGCTCTACCACTGGGGCTATACCCTCCACCTCTCTTCTTTTTTTAATCCCAGAGCTAAGAATTATAATGAAGCTAGGGCTCCTTGAATTTTTAAAAATTGTGAAATGTAAAAGAATTCATAAAAGTGAGTGATACACAAGAACAAGAACACACATTACTAAAGAATGATAAAATCTACCATATAACTACCACCCAAGGCACAAAATAGAAGTATTTCAGAGGTCCCTTGTGTGCCCCTCCCTGATCATAACCCACTTCCTCCCCCTAGAGGTAATCACCTTCCTAACTTTAGAGATAATGATTTCCTTGACTTTCTTTATAATTTATACCACTTACATATGTATCTGTAAACAGTGTAGCTTAGTTTTGACTATTTTTGCACTCTATATGAATGAAAATAAACCATATTCTTCTGTGTCTTCCTTTTTATGTTCAATATTGTGCTCATTGAGATTGATTGTTTTGTATGTCAATATAATTATTTGGTTTTCATTGCTGTGTACTATAAAATTCTTAGAAGAATACATAGAAGAAAATCTTTGGAACTTTGAAGTATGCAGAGATTTCTTAGAACATAAAAAAGCACTAACCATAAAAGAAAACATTTATAAATTGGTATCCATCAAAATTTTTAAATCTGTTCTTTAAAAAGCCTTCATCAAGAAAATGAAGAGGTAAACCATAGACTAGGGGGAAATATTTCTAATATATATCTCTCAATGGATATAACACTTGAATATATGGGGAATTCTTACTCTGAATAATGAAACAAATCACCCATTTTTAAAATGGGCAAAAGACTTAAACAGACACTTTACAAATAGGATACACAATGACCAATAAGTATGTGAAAAACTGTTCAGTCATTTGTTATTCAGGGAAATGAAAATTAAAAGCCTACAGGTATGGGTAAAATCAAAATGGCTCACAATACGAAGAATCAGTGAGATGCTTTAATACATTGCTGGCAGAAATGTAACATAATACAACTTGGAAAACAGTTTGGCTATTTGTTATAAAGTACACTTAGCATATAACCCAACAAAAGCACTCCTAAGTATTACTCAAGAGAAATAAAAGCATATATTTATATGAAGACATGCATATGAATGGTCATAGCAGCTTTGCTAATAATTCCCAAACTTGGGAGAACTTAAATATTCATCAACAGGTAAATGTATAAACCATTTGAAGTATATCTGTAGAATGGAGTAGTAGTCAGCAGTAAAAAGGAAGAAACAACTGATTCATGCAACAACATGGATAATTATGCCCTATATACATGCTGAAGTATTTAGGGGAAATGTGTTGACGTCTTTAAAATACACCAAAAATAAGATGGATTGACAAATTGATAAATGGGTGTGTTAAAGCAAGTTATAATGGTATAGTCTAGTAGTAGGTATATAAGTGTTCACTATAAAATTCTTTGAGCTTTGCTTTATGATTAAACATTTGTGTAACAAAAGGCTTGGGAAGTGAAAAGCCTTGTGTGAGTGAAAGAATCCAGATACATAAAACAATACATACTGCATGGTTTATAAAGAATTCTAGGACAGACAAAACAAAGCTATGGTGACAGAAAGTACATCAGTGGTTGCCTGGGAGAAGTGTTGATTATAAAAATGCATGAGGAAACTTTTGGGGTAATGGAAATATTCTACTTCATTGATTGTATGATAGTTACATTGGAGTATACATTTGTCAAAAATCACTGGACTGAACACTTAAATGAATGCATTTATTTATGAACACTATACATTGAAGAAATTGATTTTAAAACAAACAGGCAAACACAAGTGAATTGGAAGCACTGAGCTCCTAAGTGGATGAGATCCGTTCTGAGCATCTCAGTGGATGATCTCTCGCTGAGCTATGTCCTTTGGGTACCTCCATAGTCAGTATTTTCAAATAAAATAAGATAAATAAAATAAAATTAAATTAAATTAAATTAATTAAATGAAATTAAATTAAAGTTTTCCTTTCAAATTGGTCAGATTTAGCAGAGAGCACTCTTCTAATCTCCTCCCTGCAGAGAAGGCCTGGTTGTGAGAGCTTCCAAAGTGGAGAGAAGATTGATGAGGTTTTCTAATCCAGTGGGCACACTGCTCCTTAGTTGGACACTCATTACCTGTCCTCCACATTGAAATCCTTTCTTCCTTTGCTTCTAGGATCCAACTCTCTCCAAATTTACCTCCCACCTCTTTGATCTTTCCTTCTCAGTCTCTTTATAGATCTACTTTCCTTTCTTTACCCCTAACTATTATTTCTGTCACTGACCCTCTTTTTGTCAGCCAGGATTTGTCTTTTGCTTTAATGATCATATGTCTCTCTACTGTGTTTTTCTAGTTTTGATGTCCATCTGATTTCCTCCATGGACTGTTGGAGTTCTGTCTATCTGTTGTCTGCTTTGATGAAGCACTGAAGAAATGTGTTGAGGACAGAGTGTGACAGAGAGACAGTCAAGGTCAGAGGAGAGAAAAATCATGGGAGCCCAAAGGCTGCCAGCTGGCTCAGCCATGTCCCAGGCCTGGAGGAAGATGCTGGCACAGGTGGAGGCTGAGCCCAGGGATAGATGTGTCATTTCTGTGTCGTCCTGCTGCTGTTCCTTACTCGCCATCAGCTACCTTCCATCAGCTACTGTTGCTTCACAGTGAGGAACATTTTCCCAACACGAAGTAAGTGCTCTAGTAGATTGATTTTCCTTTCCTTGTGATTAAACATTTTATAATGAAATGTTAAGGAAGAAAACATTGTGCTAAGTGCAAGAAGGCAGACACCAAAAAATACATGCTGCTTCAGTGCCTAAACTGAAGTTAGAGATAGGGTTATTCCCCCACAGCTCAGGGCACAGCCTCCAGGGGAGCATCTGTCATGCACATGTCCCCTCCTGGGGCCTGCAAAGAGACATTGACAAGGGGAGCCATCGTTTGAAAATAGGCATGCAAAAGCAGTAGCTATTATTTTATTCCAGGCATATTAATATGCTTTTTATATGCATCAACTCATGTCATTCTCTGGAGACATGTCATAATGGAGCACAATTGCTGGATGGTATAGCAAGGGTATGGTTAGTTTTGTAAAAAACCGGCAAACTATCTTTCAGGGTGTCAGTACCATTCTGCATTTTCACCAGCAACATATGAGAATTACTGTTGCTCCACATTCTCACCAGCATTTGGAGTTGTCAGTGTTCTAGATTTTGGCCACTCGTATAGGTGTGTAGTGGTATCTCATTGTTGTTTTAATTTGCATTTCCCCCAATATGTGATGTGGAGCATTTTTTCATATGCTTATTTGGCATCTGTATGTCTTCTTTGGTGAGATGTCTGCTAAGATTTTAGGGCCTTTTCCCCCATCTTTGGCTCTTTTAAAAATCAGATTGTTTATATTCTTGCTGTTAGATTTTAAGTTTTCTTTTTATATTTTGAATAACCGTTCTTTATCAGACATGCCTTTGGTAAATATTTTCTCCTAGGCTGTGGCTTCTCTTCTCATTCTCTTGATACTGTCTTTCATTGAGCAGAAGTGTTTAATTTTAATGAAGTCCAGCTTTTCAATTATTTCTCTCATAGATGTGCCCTTACTGTTGTGTCTAAAAAGTGATTGCCAAATCCAAGTTCACTTAAATTTTCTCTGATTTTATCTTCTAGGGGTTTTATAGTTTTGCATTTTACATGTAAGTCTGTGATCCAGTTTGAGTTAATTTTTGTGAAAAATGTAAGGTCTGTGTCTAATTAATATTTGGCATGAGTGTGTCCAGTTGTTCCAGCACCATCTGTTAAAGAGACTATTTTTGCTCCATTGTATTATCTTCGTTCCCTTGTTAAAGATTAGCTGACTATATTTACAGGGCTCTGTTTCTGGGCTTTCTACTCTGTTCCATTGATCTATTTGTATTCTTTTTTGCCAATACCACATTGTCTTGATTACTGGAACTTTATAGTAAATCTTGAGGTCAGGTAGCATCAGTCCCCTGATTTTGTTCTTTTTCATTATTATGTTGACTATTCTCAGTCTTTTGCCTCTTCATATGAACTTTTGAATCAGTTAGCTTATATTCATAACATAATTTTCTGGTATTTTGGTTGGGATTCCATTGAACCTGTTGATCAAGTTGGGATTGGTTTTGTTCTGGAGAGGACTTATACCTAGTAGGGGGTAGGAGAAGGGAGATCTATTTTGGAGATAAAGGGATGGTAAATAAGTTAATAAAAATCAGCTACAGACAGATGAGAGGATTTTAGCCTAGACTGCGTATTAGATAATATTGTGCATTTGTGTTCAATTTCTAAGTGTAATAGTGGTATTTTGATCATGTAGAAGAATTCCCTTGTTCACAGGAGATAAATACTGAAATATTTAGGGGTAAAGTATCACAATGCTTACAAGTTACTTTCACGTGGCTTAGCAGTTTGTGTATGTGTGTGTGTCTATGTTTGTATGTCTGCGTGTCTAGAGAGAGACAGAAAACAACTGTGGCTAAATGTTCTTAATTGGTGACTCTAGGTAAAGGATATGTCTGTATTCTTTAAACTTTTCTGGTTTTCATGTATGAAAACAAAAAGTTGGAAAAATATCTGTATACGATTCTGATATTCGATCAATTGTATTCAGAATGCAATGCAAGATTTTTTACCATTTATATCATTTTGTTTTAAAATGTTGTAGTGACTTTGGAGAAGATATAAATGTAAAAAAAACACTATATGAAGGGGAAAATATATTCTCTGAAGTTTTGGTATTAAAAAGCAAGATGCATTCTACTGGAAAGATGTGAACAGGGTGGGGTGCTTTGCAGGGTGTGACCGTGTACATCTGTCTCTTTGCTTGTTTATCTTTGTCCTTCTTGACTAACCTTTAAGATCCATGGACCAAGGATTATTACTGTTTGGTTTCTCATTGAATATCCAGCACTTAGCACGATGCCTGGCACACAATAGGTCCCTGTACTAGTTGGGTAACATTCACTGCCTTAACAAAGTAACTCCCAAATAGCAGTAGTTTAGCACAATAGTTTATTTTGTCATCACCTAGCTGATCAATGCAGGTGTTTCTGGCAGACAGCTTCCTTCTATGAAGTGATTTTAGAGACTGAGACTCCTTTCATGTTTTGGTTTCACCATTCCCGGGGGGACTTGTTATCCTCAGCATTTCATCAGCAAAGGGGGAGAGAATGTGAAGAAACATATCTGCTTCCTAAAAATCCTTGTCTGAAAAATGACACATCTCATTTCCACTCACATTTCATTGGTGAAAACTAAACAAATGACCACACTGAGAAACAAGGAGGTAGGGATGGGTGGTGGGGGCAGAGCATCTGGAAAACCAGTCCCTGGCCTGACAGCCACTTCCTAAGGGTAATTTCATAATACAGAAAGGAGGGAGACTGTAGTGGACAGCTAGCCATCTCTACCACAGTGTTTAAATATTTAATGAATGAATGAATAGAGTTTCTAGGACTGCTTTATTCTTTGCAAAGGTAATGCTATGTAAATCATGGGATGTGGAGGAGCCCAGATATAGTCCATGCAACTGCTGGTGGTTCTGTTAACTTTATAAGCTGTTCAGCAAAATGCAGTAGCAAGGCCTGGCGTACCCTCCTGCCCCAAACAACTGCAAAATCAGATTGACAAAATGTATAAAACAACAGTTTTCAGACATTGGACATCAAGCAGTATGGAATAGTGATCCTTGAGAGAGGTGCGCCCTATGACTCCCCCAGTTTGCTGCCTGGAAAGAGTTTCCAGGTCAGGATCCAGGGAGGGAGAATTCAGGCAGAGCCTGCTAATCTTTTTAAATTGCAGAGACAGAGTCCAGGCAGACTACAGTGACTAGAGTTCACAGGGCAAAGTCCAGAGGTGAGAGACTCGGACAGAGTGACTGCTCTAGGGAACTGAGCAGCTGAATACTAATCAGTGAATATGAGGAAGGAAACCATCCAAGTCTGGGAAAGAACTTCCTGAAGAGAGCAGAGGAAAGAATTCTCAAAGCTCATACAGCGACAAGAATAGTTCAAGTTTATGCCAGACAGAGTGGAAAATCTTAAAATTCCTGGTTCGCTGAGTACTGGGGGAAAATTAGCCCTGGACTAAAGGTGACTCTAGTCTCATATAATGAAGCCAAAGAACAAGCCTCAAAAAGATTTGACTGTTTATAAATCATTTAACTGCATTTCCAGAACAAAGCTCACAAGTATTTAGAAGAATACACAAATATCCAGCACCCCAACAAGGTAAAGTTTACAGTGTCTGGCATTCGATTCAAAATTACAAAAAAGAATTTTTAAAAATGTTTAAAAAAAAGTAAGTAAATTAAAAAAGAAAGTAAATTTTTTTTAAATTACAAAAAAGAAAAAGAACCAGGAAAATACAACCCATAATGAGGGCAACAGTCAGTCAATAGAATCAGGCTCAGAAATGCCACAGATCATAGAGTTAGTAAACAGGGATATTAAAACAGATACTATTCCATATGTTTAAGAAGACAGAGGAAAGACTGAGCATGTTAAGTCAAGATAGGGAAGATACAAAAAGACATTAAAATTCTAGATGCAAACTACATTGTCTAAGGGGGAAAATATATTGCATGAGGTGAGCAGCAGATGAGACACTGAAGAAGAAAAGATTAGTGAGTGTGAAGGCACAGCAATAGAAACTATTCAAAATAAAACGCAAATAGAAAAGAAAATCCAGTATGAGGGAAGCTGTAGTATCACTTTGAGCTATATGTTATTGGAGTTCCTGAAGAAGGGTGTGTGGGACAGGAAAAACTACTTGAAGAAACAATGACTGAAAACTTCAAATTAGATAAAAGCTATAAAACCATAGATCAGAGAAACTCAATGAACCCCAAGTACAAGAAATATGAATAAAATGATACCAAATAGCATGATAAATTGCTTTAAACCAGTGATATAAAATGACTGACCATCCAGTCTGTCCCATAACCTTCCTTTTGGACAGGAACTGACTGAACTACAGACACAGCATCCCTGGAACTTTGCCAGAGTATGAAGTTTAGTGTCTGCTCCATTCCAGACTCTTTACATGAATCTGATCAGCCCTAAAATGTGAGATCCAACCTCAGGCAGTATCAGCTGTCACCAGCTTTTATTTAGATGGCCTGTCATTTACTGTCCAGAATTGTTCCATTTGTTTTCTTTGCCTGCCTGGCTTGATGATCTCCTTGCATTTTAATCTATCCCCACATCCTTTTCTGTTGCACAATCCATTTGGACAGGATTTTCTGCCTCTGGATTTCAGCACTCTCTCTGGACCTGATTTGGTAAATGTCCTCTCCCCTAGCCCTTAGACCTGTACCAGATAGGCCATCCACCATTTCTACCAGCTTTTCTGTGAAAATTTTCCGGGAAATTTTAAGGGAGTAAGTCTTAAAAGTTCTCATCGCAAGAGAAAAAAGTTGTAAGTATGTGAAATGATGGATGTTAACTAAACTTATTCTGGTGATCATTTTGTAATGTATACATACACCAAATCATTATGTTGTACGCCTAAAACAAATACAATGTTATACATCAATTACACCTCAATTTTTTAAAATTCCAGAAATAATCTTTCTAACCATGTGGCCAAAGTCTAGGCAGACAATGTTGAGATCCACCTGGGTGCTAGGAAAGTTTCATCAATTTGAAAGTTGAGAATTTCAATAGCATTTGGTGTATAAATTTGAAGCCTGAATTGAATCTGTCCTCACATCAAATATGCCTTGTGAGAAGTACCTGTGTGCTTGCTGCCTCAATCACAACTGAGCAATAACTGCTAGTGCTATTGGCACAAATAATAATTCTGCAATGGGCACTTTTTGTAAATAAATTTGAAGAAAGTGTTTTTGGATACCTTTAGTACTGCTGAAAAAACTGATTTTTTAGAATTGCTGGCTTCTACAGTTGTCATTAAAAAGTTAGCCTTCTGGAGGGGAGGGTATAGCTCAAGTGGTAGAGAACATACTTAGCATGTATGAGGTCCTGGGTTCAATCTCCAGTACCTCCTCCAAACACAAATAAATAAATAAACCTAATTTACCTCCCCCCTCCAAAAAATAAAAAATAAAAAGTTAGCCTTCTATATACATGGATTTCTAATCATCTTGCTCTTTGTTAAAAACACTTGGACACACTTCTGCTGTGTAAACAATGCTTACATGTCCATGTAGACATATGTGGCTTGTCTTCAACCTTAAGATAAACCAGAATGGGTGGTGCAACTTTGGTTGTCCCAGGGGAGGCTAAGACCAAACCAGTTCTGGAACATAGCTTTACTTTGGTGAACATCTGTACCCACAATAAGATGACGGGGAAGTAATGAGAAAATAAAGATGAAAATACCCAGTCTTTGTCTCAGTTCACAATCTAGAAGCAAGACAAAAGCAAACAAAGTAGAATGAGATAAATTGTAAATTAAGTATAAGTGCTGTGCTGAGGGCTTGAAGAAAAGGACTTATTTGTGGCAGGAATTAGTTTCCAGTAAATAAGACAGGGAGTGAAAGGAATGTAGGAAATCAGAAAATAGCCTGGGGCTTCAACCAGTTGTTGAATGTTGAGCTTTGGAACCCTTGTCATGCTGCAGCTAAATCTCCATGGTTCATTGCTTAGCAAACAGATCTCAGTGTCTTGGTGTCCCCTGTGACCTATGGAGACCATGGGACAGGGCACAGAAAAAAAATGCTTCCTGTTAATCTACAAGATGAGATCAGCCCCACTTTATCATTTACACATTCAGGCCAACTTTCAGTTAACCCAGGCTGCATGCAAACCTACTACACATCTCAGCACTGTGTAGGAGACAAAAGAATAAAGAAGGCAAGATTTTCAAGAATTTATAACCTGCTAAAGAATAATAAAGCAAGTATATAAATACCTGAGTTACAAGACAAAACAAGATACGTTTTACTAGGAAGGTACAGAATTCTGAGCAGTTTATAGGAGGGAAAGATCATTACCAAGAATCAAGCCTTAGCAGAAAGGGTACAGCTCAGTGGTAGAGTGGGTGCTTAGCATGCACAAGGTCCTGAGTTCAATCCCTAGCACCTCCATTAAAATAAATAAATAAATAAATAAAATTAAAAATATATTAATTAAAAAGTAAAAAAAAAATTTTTTTAAAGAGTCAAGTCTCACTGATTCAAACTACAATTTCAGAGTTATGTTCTTAGGGAAAAAAATGTTTGGCAAAATATACTATATGTGGACAAAATGTCTTTAACGCCTGACATGTAGAGAAAAGACCCAATACTGGTAATAGTAACACTGCACCAGTATGTAAGTGCCAAGAGAAGAGAAACTTGTCTGTTTTGTTCATTGATGTAATCCTTTTTGCCATGAAGATCCCTGGTACACAAGAGATGCTCACTAAATATTAAAGTGAATGAACAGAATTGGAAGAAAAGGAGCTGAGAAAACTACCTCCTTTCTAGTTGTAACTCCATGAAGCTACTTGTCTTGGACCTTGGAGGAAGACTGGGTAAGCATGCCACATTATTTGCATGTGGGGTTCTGTTCCTTGTAATTTTGACAAAACAAAACAATGACCAATGTATTAAATGAGAAATACAATTGTATTGTATGCAATGGCCATAGAGTAATTGGTAGCTTTGGTCTTGACCTCTAGTGGTTAGTACTCTTATCACCAACTCATCAGCGAGTAGGGGAAGCTTACATAGCATGTTTCAGAAGGTATAGGCCTTGCCATGGGATTGGAGAAGTGCCTTCCAATCCTGGACTATGTGCCCAGGTCACCATCACAGGCCTTTTGTAATGATGTCAGTTTTCTGATAAGCGATTGGAACCCATCAAGCCTCTTAGACATTGGAAAATACGTGAGCCTCCCCAGTCCTTTATTCTCACTAACCCTTTGTAGATTCATAGATGAGATGTTAGTCTGTGACAGATAATCTCTATTACCTCACTTGTATATTTAGGTCTCTAATTATGGATTCATTCATTCAACAGATACTGCCTAAACACCAGTACACAGGTACAGTCCCTGACTTCAAGGAGGCTGTGGTTTAATGAGGGGGTCAGACAAGTAAATGAATAATTACAATGCGTTATGACAAGTGCAATAATAGAAATATATTTAGGGTTTAAGGCTGTAAAAAAATTTCTTTCATTTACTTATAAATACAGAAATTGATTTATTAGAATTGCTGATAAACCAAGACCAAATATAAGGAAGTATTTATAGGCCATAAATTAAGAAATTAATACCTTGAGTTTAATCCCTGTATTGTTGAATATAGGAATTGTGACATGTTTCCTTGCTGGAACTTATTTAGCATCTACAGATATAGTTTTAGTTTTTAATTGTATTTCACTGGAAAGTTTGGTGTAAATGTAAGGTCTAATTTTAAGTCTTTATATCTGTACTAAACCCTCATGCTCTTGGACTGTGTTACTATCACATGGGATTCCCAGGTGCAGGTGGTACCGCTGCATGTGAACCTGATTCTTCCTCGCTAAGATGATTCCATCTGTGCTGATACAAGGACTCTTTATTTTTAGGACAGTAATTGCTATGGTTACCGTGAACCACAATTTGGCCTTCAGTACTATGTCCCTGAACAGTTAGTATTCCCCACAGAAATTTTGTAGCAAGAGAATAAATGAAATAAAATATATCAGAAATAGCACAAGAAGAGCTATAATCACAAAATGTTCACATAATTGTGTAATTCATTTAAATATATAATGCAAAGGGTTTTTTTTGAAATCTCTTTTTTCTTCTACAATAAGATAAAAATGTCTGACAAATGTATACAAAATAAGTACATTTAGAAAGATGTTTGATTAATCACCAAATTAACTGGAAAATATAAGTAAAATGCTGTTATTATTTCCAAATTCAGCTTGGGTACTGAGTAGTTAAAATTAAAGCAGGTGGAATATTTGCAGGGGGTACTAAATGCTTTATTTATAATGAGATTTACTTAATAATTTACATATACTATACCTGGTAAAAATCTAAAAGCAATATATTTCTTTTTAGCCATAATTTGCTTTGCAGAACACTGTTTGGAACAGTATTAAGAATTATTCTTTCAGTTTTAAAACACAAAATGAAAATATATGACTTTTCCAAATGACACAAAACCTTCTGATTTATGTCTTAAGTATATGTAATGTTCTTATTTTGTAATAGATTTCCAGAAACTTAAGTCTTTAGCAACAACCAAAATTCTTTCCACTTAGTTTTGCAACTTGGGGCCACATTTCAAAAGAGCTTTTTTTTTTTCTTTTTGCATGTGTGATTCAACAGAAAAATATATGGACCTTGAGACAAGGAATTTTGTCTTTTTTTTTTTTAACAACTAAAGCCGTGTTTTAAGCGGTTTGTGTGTATGAAAGGTAATTCAATTTAATTCATTATATGGCATTTAACAATTTAATCTTCGTATGAGTTAGCATTTTGAATAGCTTATTATATGTTTAATATTTATACTATATGATAAATATTATACTGTATAATATAAATATGATATATATGTTATATATAACATAATATGTAAAATTAAAGTAAAACTCTTTACAGCAGATCCTTTCTGATAGAATCATTGGCAGGCAATGCAATTTCCATTGGGTGGTCTAGTTTCAAAGTTCCTGAACTGATTTTCTGACCCAAAACAAAAATAAAAACAAAAGCAAAAAAGAAAAACCCCATTTCCCTCTGCAAACTGGTATTGAGGTAAATCCGGACTCCACTCTCAAATATAGCTGTTTAATTTGAATACCTTGAAACTATAGAGATTCTGAAGACCCATGAGGATTATATCACATTTTGAAACTCATGTTGCCAATTGAGAGAGAGGCCATCATGAAATAACTAATTTTCGTTGCTAACCTACCTGAGTTTTATATAGTAAACTATAAATTAAAAAAAAAACACTCAAAATCTGATGAGTCCTTTGAATGCTATTTTTTTAATAGCAGCTGAATTCTGAGAATTACATTAAATACCAATCCTTGTCTTAACACTTTATATGTAATATGTAAATATTATCTTTGTATGTTAAGAATACACAGATACAGGAATTAAGGGTAATACAAAGATTAAACTTTTTTTTTTTATAGTGAAGGTACTGGGAATTGAACCCAGGACATTGTGCATGCTAAGCATGCACTGTTACACTGAACAATACCCTCTCCTCAAAGATTAAACATATTTTTTAATGTTTCGCTAATCATGATACATACTGTCATTAGTATATCAGATTAATACTCTTAGGGCAAGGGCCATTGTACTGATAGTGGGTTCAAGTACATATTTTGATTTTCTTTTTTTTGGTTGACTTTTCGTGATTAGACCATTGTATTTATATGGTAATGTTGCTGACAAAGAGTTCATAACTGTTATTTTCTTCTTGTTTGCTTGCTCCTACGTATCAGTATTGGCTTCAGTCAGCAGTCTTTTTGTAAAAATCTTTTCAAGGCGTTTATCTACTGCGTGAAGGTGAATTTAGTTAAAACTAGTAGATAATGAATTCTAGGAACCGAGCAAATATAAAGTACAACCTGGAGCAGTTTGCTGAAAAGCTCCTTTGTTCTTCCCTTTGGAGGGTAGAACTCCCACTTCCCTCTCAGCATACCTTAGTTACCAAAAATTCTACATGATCACTTGGTATCCACCAAATAAGGGAAAACTCCACTGTTTATCTATACATTAAACATTAGCAATATTGAATTCATTTTTATTAAATACAAGTTTAAACATTTTCTCTTCTCACACCAATGCATGGTCTTGCACATCCCCTGAGTTGTGTGTATTCCATTTGGGGGACTGCCATGTCAGAAAATGAGTCTATTTTCTGATTTTTTTTCTATTCACCTGGGTTTTTTAAAAGGAAAATGGCAAACGTAATCAGTAATAGAGAAGAAAAAGAGAAGAATGAAGGATAAGACTCAATTTATTTCTACTGGAATAGTTCTATCTAATCTCTAACCAAGCAGACCTTGCCAACGTCCCTCCCTCCAAAGTTAAACAAATTTATGTTAATATGTGGACTGTGTTAAAACCCAATATAATGTATCTTCCTTTCCACAGTATCATTAAGGTCTCTGTTTGATTGAAGCAGCAAGTGGATGACTGTAAATACAACCTATTGTATAAGTTCTTCTTGTCTCTGCTGCTTCCATCATGTCCATATCCTGCAACCTCTTCTTTTCCTTTTTTTATTTTCTTCTGTTTCTTCCATCATATTAACTGTCCACATGGGTAAATTCCTATTCTTTCCATATTTGTCTTTGTACACATTTTCCAAGCCAACTTGTCCCCCCAAAATCCTCATGTTACTTAAAAAAAGTCTGAATCTGTTTCAACAGGTGTATCAAAACAAGAGTTCTCTTCAAAGTACAAGTATACAGTAAAATGACTGCATTCATTATTTTCTTTTTCACAAAATATTACATGCCATACTTTAGATTTTTAAAAATCCCTACTGTTTTCTTCAAGCATAGTTAGAAAGTAGCTCTGAGAAAAAAATCCAAAAGGATAATTTTATGGCATTTAACTACTTACCAGATACAACATGATAGGTAATGTAATATAGTGGTTACCATGGGCTGTGTAGTCTGATCTGGATTCAAAATCTAACTCTAGAACTTACTAGCTACACCACCTTAGGTTTTATTACTTTACTATGGACTTGGCCAACATACAAATTGGGGCTAATAATACTTTTAATAATCATCTACATTGCTTAATTATGAGGCCAGTAGACACATAATTAGCATTTCTGAATGTACTTTGATCATACGTTTTAAGAAGTATCACATTTAATTTGTCCTAGTCCAAGTAATTGCAACAGTTGAAATGACAGTGGTTTGTATGCTTTGCAGCTCCTAAGGAATTCAGGCAATAATTTTCAAATTAAGATACAAATAAAGCTTTACTTTTTGTGATTTCAATTCTCTTTTATTGTTTTATGGCCCAGAATGTAGTCTGTTGTGGTAAATATTCCCTGTGTCCTTGAAAAGAATGTTCTACTATTCTGGAGTGGAGCAGTCTATAAATATTATATCAAGATAGTAGATAGTGTTGTCCAAGTCTTCTAAAGCCTTACTAATCTTCTACTTGTTAAATCAATTACTGAGAAAGGAATGTTGAGATTTCCCACTATAATTGCAGATTTATTATTTCTTTTAGTTCTATTTGTTTTGCTTTATATATTTTGAAGTTCTGTGCATAAACTTTTTTATTTTCTTAATGAATCAACCCCTTTATTATCATAAAATATCCCTCATTATAATATTCTTTATTATAAAATCTTTTTTTTCTGATATTCCTTGCAACTGAATTAATTAGTGTTTGCACAGCATAATCTATTTCCTTTCTTTTACATTTATCCTGTGTCTTTCTTTAAGGGGGCGGTAATTTGGTTTATTTATTTTTAGAGGCAGTACTGGGGATTGAATGCAGGAATTTATGCACACTAAATATGCACTCTAACAGTGAGTTATACCCTACCCTGCTACCTTGTGTCTTTAAAGTGTCTCCTTGTAAACAGCATATAGTTGGGTATTGCTGTTTTGCCCAGGCTGACAATCTGTCTTGTAATTAAATTTTAGACCACTTACACCTGATGTAATTATTGATATGATTAAGTTTAAATCTACCATTTTGCTATTTCTTTTTGTCCCATTGCTCTTTGTTCCATTAAACTTTCCTTATCTTCTTTTGCATATCCTTTCTTATGATTCTATTTTGCCACATTCCATTTACCCCAACAGCTTATTAAGAATTCCTATCTCATTTATTTAGTGACTTCCCAAGTTTGTATTTATAAATAAGGAATCTAAAGAAAAAAAAATCACCCTGGAGTTTTATATTAGCTTTGTTATTCAAATAAATAAAATATTACCCCTCTTCAACAAGCTGAAATTTAAGTCTCAACTTAAGAGATTTAATTAAAATTTAGAAATTCAATGATGTGGGGAGAATGTCTAATTTATTGTTAGGAAATACAGGAAAAAATTTCAAACGTTTCACTCTGTGAGAACAATGAGGATTAAGGCAAGAGTAGAAAATACCACAATTAACAAAAATTAACATGATACATGCATATGCTGTGTATCATAAATTAGGCAACCAAGTATTTTATAGTATAATTGAGGTCTCTCTAAACTACCTGTAAAAGTAGCAAGGCCAACTCCCATTTAAAAACACCTTTGTTCATACCAGCATTATTCACGATAGCTAAAATGTGGAAGCAACGGAAGTGTTCATTGATGAATGAATGGACAATCAAAATATACATACAATGGAATATTATTCAGCCTTAAAAAGAAAGGAAGCTCTGACACATGCTACAAGATGGATAAACCTTAAGGACATTTTGCTAAATGAAATAAGCCAGTCAGAAAAAGACAAATTCTATATGATTTTACTTATATGAGGTACTTAGTCAAAATCATAGAGACAGAAAGTAGAATGATGGTTGCAAGAGGCTAGGGGGAGGAGAGAATAGGAATTATTAATTAATGGGTACAGACTTTCAGTTTTAAAAGATGAAAAGAGTTATGGAGATGGATGGTGGTAATGGTAGTACAACATTATGAATGTATTTATTATCACTGTTCACTTAAAAACAAGATGATAAAAATGTATCATAATTTTTAAAATTAAAAAAATCCTATCAGAACATATCCATTTGTTCAAATATATGCTGGCTGTCTGCTACATGCAGAATATACTGCTGCTAGTACTCAGTGTCCATGTATTCCAAACCTAGTACGATATGGCTTGAGACACTTTTTTTTTTTTTTAAAGAATGACAAAACAGACTGGTACATGTTTTCTTATTTTATTAAATCTTACTAGTATTCTTTAAGGGACAAACACACAGGCCAGTAGACTACAGTGAAGAAATCTTCTTTTTATAAGAGAAGTTAAGCAGCCATTAAAAAATACTTCCAGGTATTATCTTCAGTGATGCTTCTTATCTTTCTTCTGCGACTCCAGGTAATATTCTGCCCCTAAAGCTACCACAAATGCAGCAAATCCCCATTTGAATCCTTTTAATATTGCACCAACAAAGGAAACATTATTTGCAAAGCCACCCATGTATCTCCAAGCTTCATTGCTAAAGGAAAAAAAGGGAAAAATTGTGATCACATACAACATACATTCATTGAGTAAAATATATTTGATTTTCATCTTTCTAATTTTCTTAAATGCAACCTTATACAAGATAATGAAAATGGATGACAATAAGAATGTTTCTATGGCATAAGATAATTAGGTCTATATGCCCACATTTCGTATATGAAATACAAGAAAGAACACTGATGATTTTACATTTCATAGTCACAATACTCAGGATTTTACAGAATTCTCAAATGGTAGACTCATTTGGCCTATCCATCACAGGTCAGCTGTGTGGCTCTGCCCATACTAGTCATTATAGCTTCATGGAAAGAGGAAGTTAAGAGACCTAGGTATTAATCTTTGCTCTGCCACTTATACTAGATACACAATTTTCTAGGCTGGGCAAGTTACTTAACCTGTCAGGGCCTGTTTCCTCTTCTACTCAATGAGTTACTCAATGTAGTGTTGTTATAAAGATTAAAAAGGGTAATGTATGATGTATTTTGGCACAAAAAGTATGTAACACTCGACAATACTATTACTATTCAAGAGGATCATTGATTTTCCCTGTCACAGAAGCCTGAACTTTAGAAGATAATTTCCTGCTCTGGCAATCATTCTGAATAGAAAAGGAAACAGAAATCAGAGAGCTCTAGTGAAAGATGTAGGTTAGGATGAGTGGAAAAAATCATGTTACAAAGAACAAAACCACATAACTCTAAAAATCTGACTTATGAGAGTTAATCAAATCTAAGATACTAAAACTAGACAAAGACATTAGAAGAAAACTACAGATTAATATTTCTCATGAACATAGACATAAATATTCTTCATAAAATTTTGGAAAATTGAAGCTAGCAATATTTAAAAGGATAACATATCATGAGGAAGTAGGGTTTATCTCAGGAATGCAGGATTGGTTAATATTTGAAAGTCAATGAAATTGACTCAATATATTAACAGAATTACTATCACATTCACTAGAATGGTTAATATTAAAAAGCTGATAATACTAAGTATTGAGCAACTTAAACTCTCATACACTGCTGGTGGGAATGCAAAATGATACAGCCACTTTGGAAAACAGTTTGGCAGTTTTTCACTTAAAAAAAAATACACTTTTCAAATGATTCAGAAATCCCGCTATTAGGTATTTACCCTAGAGAAATGAAAACATATGCTCACACAGACTTGTACTTGAAAGATTACAGCAACTTCACTCATAATAGCCAAAAACTGGAAACAACCCAAATGGCCATCAACTGGTAAACAAAGTGAGGTGTATGCATACAATGGAGTATTATTTAGCAATTAAAAAAGAAAGGAACTGTGAATATAAGTTAACAATGTGCCTAAGTCTCAAAAGCATTATGCTAAGTGAAAGTGGCCAGAATAAAAGACGACATACTGTATGATTCTAACTGTATAAAATTCTAGAAAACGCTGATCAAGGGTTGCCAGAACCCAGAGGTAGGATAGTACTGAGTACCAAGGATGATGAGGGATCTTTTCAGTATGATAGAAATATTCTGTATCATGACTGTGGTCGTGGTCACATAATTGCAAACATCAGTCAAAACTCATGGACTGACACACTTAAAATGGGAGGAATGTTACTGTAAGTAAATATTTCAAAAAGGCTGATTTTAAAACTTAAATGTAAGAAGCCACTTTCAATGATTAATTTTTAAAGAAGAGACTACATTGAAAAGGAATATAGATACTGCTTCTCTAGGATAATTAATTATTTAGTTATTCTTACCGGCCCCATGGATCCCTTAGCCCTCGTGCAGCCAGCTTCTCCTGGACAGTTTCTAATGGTGTCCCTTCTATCTTCCATTGTTTATAATCTGGAAGTTCCATTTTGCTATGACCATGTTCATGTCCATGTCCATGGGCCATCTCTATAGGAAAAGATTAATTTGAGGGAGAAATATATAGATTGTAAGGATCAAATACCCAAGTATCCTATTTATGTTTTAAGGTAAAACATTTAAAGTTAATGTTTTAAAAAAGAGAGCCAATATAAAAACTTGAAAATTCTAACTTAAGAAATCTTATAAAACAGTGTTTTATTACATAACTCATACATAGTCACAGTTAGGAAACACAAATATATAAAATATAAAAAAGAAAAATAATCAGTAAGAGATAAACATTTACTATTTGGTTCCTTTCTTCATTATAATAGCAAACATTTATCATACCCTATGTGCCAAGTACACTATGCTGAAGTGCTTTAAATGTATTAACTATGTTACTCCTAAAATAACTCTTTGAACTTAAATTATTATTTTTGGGGGGGTAATTAGGTTTTCATTTATTTATTTATTATTTTTAATGGAGGCACTGGGGATTGAACCTGGGACCTTATGCATGCTAGGAACGCATTCTACCACTGAGCTATACCCTCCTTCCTTAAATTATTACTATTATCTCCATCTTATAGATGAAGACATGAGGCTCCAAGAAGGTAAGTAACTTTCTGAAGTTTATAAACAAAAATAGTAAATGGTACAATTGAGTTTTGAACCTTGCAGTGCCATTTAAGAGCCCTGCTCCTAACTTCTAAGCAATATTGGTTCCTTCTTATTAGTCCTTTTATAATGCTTAAATATGCAAAATAAAAACATTGTACATACTGTTTTATTACCTGCTCTCTTCAGATGGTTCTTTAAAATGCAGTATTACTATGTTTAACACATATGGATCACATGAACTTCTTCTGTAAAGAGCCGGACAGTAAATATTTCAGGCTTTGTGGACCAAGAGGTAAATTCAAAAGGATATTATGTAGGTACTTACATAACAAGAGAGAAAACAAATTTCCACAAGTATTTTATTAATAAAATTCTAAACATGACAATCACTGAATATAATTTTTTATAATACAGATCTGATAAAAAAATGCAATCCTCTTTTTTTGGGGTGACATTTTGCTCAACTGGGGCTCAAAGTTTAGTGTTCCTTAGTACGAAATTGATTGCAAATGGTCATCTGTAAAAACCATTCTTACCTCACTGGCCACATTAAAAACAGGCAATGGGCTAAATTTAGCCAGCAGACTGTAGTTTGCTGACTCCTGAACTAGATCAACAGAGAGCTTAGGACAGCTTTTTAATTGGTAAGTCTGCTTAAATAAAACATGTCCTCTGTGGCTATATAAAGATTTCAGTTTTCTAGTGTTATATTTTTATATAAGATAAAAATAAACTTGAGCTCAGTTCCCAGTTAAATTGTTATGAATTTCAAATTAAGGGGGCATGAGTAAATAATGCTGTACCATGATT